ACATAGACGATAATTAGAAAAAGTGAATGAAACCTTGGACAAAATATGGGTTTCATGTGGCTTTTCAAAGTGTTAAAGGACTGTAGAAAGGTCAAGAGCTGTAGGAAGGAGATTCCAGAGTAAGTCCATTGTAGCATAAAGGCTCTGACATCAATTGTGTAGTGGATGGGTGTGTATGTTTGGAAGGTTTATAGTAGGCTGAACATAAAGGAGGATGTCAGTCTGCAGATGCAGAGGTAATGTCTTGTAAATCCATAAAGACATTTTACAACAGAATGAGGATTTTAAATATAATGTATCAGGGGAAGAGACAGAATTAATGCCAAAGCAACAGAGATTTTGGCATTTGTCCAAAAATTAATTGAAGATTGTACTGCTAGATTTTTTATTTTTTGTGGAGTGTGGACATTGCTGGCTGGCCAGCATTTAGCACCCATCCCTAATTGCCCTTGAGAAGGGGTGGTGAGCTGCCTTCTTAAACCACTGCAGTCCATGTGCTGTAGATAGACTCACAATCCCTTGCAGCCATTGCATTTATATGATGAGTGAGTCCAGCTGAGTTTCTGATCAATGGTAACCCCCAGGATGTTGACAGCAGTGGATTCAGTGATGGTAACATCATTGAATGCAAGGGTGGTGGTTAGATTGTCTTTTATTGGAGATTGTCATTGCCTGTGTGGCGTGAATGTCACTTGTCAGCCCGAGCCAGGATATCATTCAAGTCTTGTTGCATTTAAACATGGACTGCTTCAGCAACTGAGAAGTCACGAATGGTGCTGAACATTGTGTTGATGAACATCCCCACTTCTGACCTTATGATGGAGGAAAAATCATTAATGAGCTGCTGAAGATTGGTTGGGCTGAGAATACAATCCTGAAGAACTCCTACTGTGACGTCCTGGAGCTGAGATGGCTGACCAGCAACCACAATCATCTTCAGGTGGCTGGCTATGACTCCAACCAGAGGAGAATGTGTCCCGATACCCATTGATTGCAGTTTTGCTAGGACGACTCGACACACTTGGTCAAATGCAGCCTTGATGTCAAAGGCTATCACTCTCACCTCAACTCTGGAATTTAGCTCTTTGTCCGTAGATACTCTTAAGTGACTCTTGGAAAGGCACATGGAGGATAGTAAAATATAGGGTATGGAGGGTAGTTTGATCTTAGTAGGATAATAGGTCAGCACAACATCGAGGGCCAAAGGGCCTGTACTGTTCTATGTTCTAAATGCTGGCCTGGCTAGTGAAACCCACATCCCATAAATGAATAAAACAAAACTTGATTTCCTTGGTTCTTTCATCCAGATCATTAATATATAATGTAAATAGCTGTGGTTCCAACACTCTCTGCTGCCGAACTCCACTAGTCACTTGTTGCCATTCTGAAAAATCCCCACTTTATCTCTTTATCCCCATTCTCTGCCTTCTGCCAATTAGCCAATACGTTATCCATGCCAATACTTTGCTCCTAACACCATGGGCTTTTATCTCATAGAGTCACAGAGTCATACAGCACAGAAATAGACCCTTCAGTCCATCTTGTCCATGCTGACCAGGTTCCTCATTATGGCTTTCCCAACTTAAACTAGTCCCATTTGCCAACATTTGGCCCATTTCCCTCTAAAACCTTCCTAATCATATACCTGTCCAAATGTCTTTAAAATGTTGTAACAATACGTGCGTCTACCACTTCCTCTGGCAGTTCATTTCACTCACGAACCACCCTCAGTGTGAAAAGGTTGTCCCTCAGGTCCCTTTTAAATCTTCCCCTCAGACCTTAAACCTCTGCCTTCTAGTTTTGGACTCCCCTACCCTAGGGAAAGACGTTATAAAAGATTTTATAAACCTCTGTAAAGTGACCCCTCAGCTTCCTATGCTCCAGGGAAAAAAGTCCCAGCCTATCCAGCCTCTCCTTATAACTCAAATCCTTCAATCCCAGTAACATCCTTTTCTGTAAATCTTTTCTGCACTCTTTACAGTTTATTGACATCATTCTTACAGCAGGACACCCTGAACTGCATGCAGTACTCCAAAAGTGGCCTCACCAATGTCCTGCACAGCCACAACATGACATGCCAACTCCTTTACTCAAGGGTCTGACCAATGAAGGCAAGTGTGCCAATGTCTTCATCACCACCCTGCCTACCTGTGACACCACTTTCAAGGAACTATGTACTTGAACCCCTAGGTCTCTCTGTTCAACAGTCCTCCCCAGGGCCCTACCATTAACAGTTTAAGTCCTTCCCTGGACTGTCTTACCGAAATGCAACACCTATCTAAATTAAACTTCATTCGTCTAATATCCTCGGATATTTAGTTCCCAGCCCTGATCCCCTTGCAGCCATGTCTCTGTGATGCCCACTACAATGCACCCATCAATTTCAGTCTGCACTACATGCTCATTTATCTTGTTTCATATATAGCGTTTATTTAAGTATGACACCCTCAGTCCTGTGTTGACTGCCCCCTTCTCATGGTTGTCTCCTTATCTGCTGTGCCTGAAGTTAGATTTTTAAAATGTTCCATGCTCTCTCCTATTACTTGTTCTGAAAATTTTAATAACCTCTGCTGAGCCCTCCCTGCTTTTAACTTTTTCCATGCAACTGAACCTACCCTCCTAATAATTAGTTTAAAGCGCTGTCCACAGGCCTAGTTAAGTGATTCTCCAGGGCTCTGGTCCCAGCAAGATTCAGGTGGAGCCTGTCCGATTGGAACAGCTCCCTCCTTCCCCAGTACTGGTGCCAAAGTCCCATGAATTCGAACCCGTTTCTCCTATACCCCCAATCTTTGAGCTACATGTTTACTTCTTTAATCTTGCTCACCCTATGCCTATTTCCTCGTGGCTCAGATAGAAATCCAGAGATTAATACCTTTTTGGTTCTACTTTCTAATTTAGCCCTTAAGCTGCTCATATTACCTCAGCAGAACCTCTTTCCTCTTTCTACCTATATGGACCATGACAACTGGATCTTTCCCTCCCACTCCAAGTTCTTCTCCAGCCCAGATGAGATACCCTGAACCCAGCCGAGCAACATAACGTTCGGGACTCTTGATCCTGAAAACACAGAAATGCCTATTCCCCTGGCTATACTACTCTTGATTACAACTACACTTCTTTTTTCTCCCTGCTCTTGAATGGCTCCCTGTACCACGGTGCTTTGGTCAGTTTGCTTATCCTCCCTACAGCCCCCACTCTCATCACACAGGGAACAAGAATCTCGAACCTGTTAGATAAGCTCAAGGGCTGGTATCTCCAGCCTAACTCCTGGATTCCTCTACATGCCTCACTTGTCATCACGCCACCCTGTTCCTGACCGGATTTGAGGTAGTTAATCTAAGGGGTGTGACTGCCTCCTGAAACAGTGTCCAGATAAATCTCTCCTCCATGATGTGTTGCAGAGTTCAAAGCTCAGATTCCAGTTCATCAAAAAAAAAAGGGTTTGGACTCGGGGGGAGCAGATTTTAGTAAAATAAGGCAGGATCTGGGCAAGGTAGACTGGGAACAACTACTATTGGGGCACTGGGGGACATGCAGAGGAGATTCATCAGAATGCTGCCTGGGATGTAAAATTTAAGTTATGAAAAAAGGTTTGATAGGCTTGCATTGTTTTCACTGGAGCAGAGAAGACTGAAAGGTGGTCTGATTGAGGTGTACAAGATTATGAGGGGCATGGACAAAATAGATAAGGAGTGGCCATTCCCCTCAGTTGAAAGGTCAGTGACAAGGGTAGAAAGGTTAAAGGGGGGAGGAGGAGGAGGAGGTGGAGGGTGCAAATGAAAGGAAAAACTTTTGTGGCGACAGTGTGTAATATGCTGCCTGGGAAAGTAGTAGAAGTGAGGTGTCTCACATTCTTTAAAAGTACTTGGATGAGCACTGAGCATGTCATAACATTCAAGGTTATGGTCAAGAGCTGGTAAATGCGATTAAGTTGAAGATCAGGTGTTTCTCATGTTTCGGTGCAGACTCAATGGGCTGAAGGGCCTCTTCTGCACCGTATGATTCTATGATTCTAACTCTGAGCCAGAGTTCCTCAAGCAACCAACTCTCGCTAGAGATGTGGTCACTATGAACCATTATAAAAAATAAATTTCCAAAACCAGACATCAAAATTTATAATGAAAATGTTGGATTTAGACAAAAGCATTTGAGAAGTTCAGGTCACCATGCAAAACAAAAAAAAGCACTAATCTTTAATCATATTCTACTGTAATTATCTAATGTCTTTTTTCAGGGCTAAATTACCTCCTGAACACATAGCTTTTTAGAAGACAGTCAAAACAAACACTTTCATCAGAAAACAAACTTTATTCCACCGAAGTTAATTTAAATGTCACATATTACCCATCTCTGATGGAACTAGAGTTGTAAATCATCACGGGCGTGTTGCTTCATGTGCATAATCTCAGTTATTTCTCTTACATACAATCAACTACATGATAAAACAAAATACTAACATCCTTAAATTTCTTATTGCTTAAAATTCATATCAAGTTAATTTTGAACTTAACCACTAAAGTATCTCCAGTCTTGAAAATAAATACTCATATCTACTTGGGAGAGGGACAGACAATACAAAATCCGGATGAGTCCAAAAACAATTCATTCAGCAACTCACTGGGAAGATACAGAGTTAGGCTCTTCTATTCTAGATTAATAACTCTGCCAGCTCTCACAAGTGGCTCCAAATGTCATATCCTGAAAATGAGGGCTGGAGAGAAAACTCAGCGATTGGACGAAAAGCAATCCCTTTTCCCCTAAACTTCTCCCCACTTATTCCACCGAGTCCATCACTTACCCTGGCTGGTCACTGCTAGTACCCGGCTGTAGTCACAAGGATTCCCAAATGAGCTGTAAAACTCGCCAATTTACTAAACCTCCTGTTTCCCAACACCTCATGAGCACGGAACCATGACACAGAAAATTGAGGGAAGATGATTATAGGAAGGACCGGAAGTCACCGCCGGACACTGGGGGAGAGGTTATGTAAAGGACCGGAAGTGGTGGGTTGCTGTAGTAACGGCGGGGGAGGTTGACATGAAGCGGGATTTCGGTTTGAAGGTGGCGGGGACGCAGGTTGTGTTGGCGGCGTCTGGAGATGAGAAACACCCGCCGGAGAACATCCTCGACGGGTGAGGATCTTCAGCCTGTCCTTGCGGTTGGCGAACAGGATCGTCACCCTGGATAACAACACGTTGTATTGATATAGCGCCTGAGGCGTGTCCTACACTTTGAGAATTTCAAAGTACCCATTGCCCTGCGAGAAATCCTATCAAAGTTGGCTGTTCGTGAACTTTTTATTTTAATTATGTCTGATGCTATCACTTCAGCTCCATGCCCGGATTATGCGGTAAAATACCTCAATTCTTTGCAGAACCAGTGTAGGGTGATAGAGATGGAATTCTCGGCAGAAGGGTAGTTAGATCTATTAGTGAGACTTCTTTCACGGTCAAAAGCGAACACCCCTGCTTTGGTAGAGGTTGCAATATAGTCTCGTGATAAAAAGACCTTTTAGTTATATGATAACAGTATGGAGCTGGAGGGACACAAAAGGTCAGGGAGCATCATAGGAGCAGGAAAGTTGACGTTTCGGGTCGGGACCTTTCTTCAGCACTTTTCACAACCACCAGATACCTCAAAGTGTTTTCCAGCTAATTAAGTCCATTGAAGTGTAGTTACAGTTGTAATACAGCATTTACACCAGCTAATTGTACACACTGCAAGGTCCCACAGACAGAAATAACCACGGATTATCTGCTTTTGTGAATGATAAGTATTGGACAAGATAACTAGGTATAACACCCCTGCTCTTCAAATGCAAGTGTCTCCCCTCCCACTCTGATTAAATGGAGATTGCACCCAAATGAAAAATGTAGCAAATTTTATTCAAAGAATTGCCAGATTATAGCCCAGAAACTTTGACTGATTTCCTTTCCTCTTACTATTTAATGCTTGGGATGTTTTACCACATTCAAGGTTCTATATAAATGCAAGTCATTTCCATCTAGGCTCAGGCATGAAGAACAGTCACTTCCACAAGAACTGACTATCTATGATATTAATGAGACACAGATAAGAAAAAAAGTTGAAAATTCGATAAACGAAAATACCAAGTCTCATACTGTACTTCTGCTTACAGTAATACAGAAACATTCTGGATTACAACAGGAATGTTCCCACAAGAATTTATCCTAAGTTTTGCTAATCTTATAAAAATTAGCTCAATGAAAATTCACTGTTACAATGGTAAGATTTTTGCTGCTTTTTAATTACTATATTTGAATAGACAAATGATTTACTATGATAAACAAGCTATTTTACCTCATTCTATATGGATCAAAGAATAAAGTGCAATGAACAATAGTTCTTAATTATTCATGATCTTTACCAAACTTTTATGCATTTGGCTTTGCAAATACATATTCAGTTTTGAGAGAGGAGTATATTTCTAGATATATTTCAGTGTAAATGCATGAGTAAACATTGAACTATCTTGCTAAATTCATGAGAATAAAGCAAGACACCATCTACTCAAAATAATTATAAATCTTCCAGAAGTAATAAGTTTCTTCTTGGTGTGCCTTTCCAGTGCGTAACCTTGGTATTGAGAGAAGTATAGCAAGAGATCCTGTAGATTTTGAATCATTGAGTAACAATGGTAAGTGTATTCAACAAATATTTTGATGATATTGCCAAGATTGTTGTTGAAAATAGTTACCTCTGTTCCATTTCTTTTGATGGTTTTCATCCTGTTGTGCTGTCTTTTTACCAGAACTTGAGCGGTCCGAGGAACAGCTTCAAGTAAAGGAATTTACAGTAAGTAAATTCTACAAAAAGCTGAGGTAACATATTAGGTATGAAATCATTATAGGTCAGTTCCTCCCCAAAGTAGTAGTGAGTAGTGTTATAGTGGTTTGATTTCCCCATTTCTACTGCAGTTTTTGATCCCTATGGTGCTGTTGCAGCAAGCTTCTGAGCGAAGGACAATCACTTTCCCGTGTTGGAAAATGAGGACAATTTAAATAATGTACACATACACATTATTAACTTTAACTAACTGGTTCAAAATAATATTCATTATTTTGGGAATGCAAGGTGCACTGTGACCTATTTTGGTAAGTAAAATAACATAAAAACAATTCAAGGGTCAAAAAAGGGTAGAGACTTTAATGAATTATAAATACCAGCATGGACTGGGTTGACCGAATGGTCTGTTTCTTGCTGTATTGCTAACATTAATGCCACTCAAATATCAGGCAATGACTTTCTCCAACTGGAAATAATCTAACCATCGTCCCTTGACATTCAGTGGCATTACTTTGGCTTCACATTGAGAATACCCATCATCATGTTATGCGGCATTATCACAATGCCAAAATGGGATAGACTTTGAACAGACCTAGCAACTCAAATTTGGCTATTCATAAGGCACTATGGGCTTCACAGCAGCAGAATCATACTCCAACACAATCTGCAACCTCATGACCCAGCATACCCCCATTCAGTTATTACCATCAAGACAGGGGATCAACTCTGGTTCAATGGAGAGTGCAGGAGCAGCACCAGCCATACCTAAAAATAAGTTGTCAACTTGGTGAAACTACTAAATAGGACTACCAAATGACATAAGCAGCAAGTTGTAGACAGCAAAACTATCCCACAATCAACTGATGAGATCTAAGCTCTACAGTCCTGCAACATCCAATCATGAGTGGACAATTAAACAACTCATCGGAGGAGGAGTCTGCAGAAACATTCCCTCCTCAATGATGGCAGAGTTGAGCACATAGGTACAAACAATAAGGTAGAAGCATTCGCAGTAATCTTCAACCAGAAATATTGAGTGGATGATCCATCGTGGCCTCCTCCAGTGGTCCCAGCATCACAGATGCCAGCCTTCAGCCAAAGAAATGTTTGAAGACACTGGATACTGCAAAGGTTCTGGGCCCAGAAAACATTTTGGCAATAGTATTGAAGAATCCAGAACTTGCCGTACCATAGCTAAGCTGTTCCGCTTCAGCTACAACACCGGCATTTCCCCAACTATTTGGAAAATTGCCCAGACATGTCCTGTACATAAAAAGTAGGATAATTCTGACCTGGTCATTTTCCAGCCCATCAATCTATTCTCGATCATTAGTAAAGTGGTGGAAGGTGTCATCAACAGTGCTATCAAGCAGCACCTGCTAAGCAATAACCTGCTCAGTGATGCCCAGTTTGGGTTCTGCCAGGGCCACTCAGCTCTTGATCTCATTACAGCCTTGGTTCAAACATGGTCAAAAGAGCAGAATTCTAGAGGTGAGATGAGAGTGACAGCCCGTGACATCAAGACTGCATTTGACCGTGTGGCATCAAGGAGCCCTAGCAAAACTGGAATCCATGGTAATTGGAAGCACGAAGGCAGCTCACCATCACCTTCTCAAACACAACCAGGGATGGGTAATGAATGATGGCCAGCCAGCAACACCTATGTCCTACGAATGAATAAATAAAATAAATCCCCAGCTCCCAACATTGTGTAGTTGCCATTGACCAGAAACTGAACTGGACTAGTCGCTTTAAACTGTGAGTACAAAAGGAAGTCAGATGCTGAGAATACGAAAAGTAACTGACCCCTAACTCCCCAAAACCTGTGCACGATCTATGAGGCACAAATCAGGCATGTGATGGAATACTCCACTTGCCTAGATGTGTGCAGCTCGAATAACTCTCAAGAATTTCTTTCCAGGACAAAATATCCAGCCTGTTTGGCATCCTATCCACCAACTTATTTATACACTCCTTCTCTCACTGATGCAGAGTGTTAGCAGCGTGTGCCTTCTGTAAGGTGCACTGCAGCTACTCACCAAGGCTCTTTTTACAGCACCTTCCAAACCTGCAACTTCGAGCACTTATGCCAAGGAGAGCAAACATGTGGGAGCACCACCACCTGCAAATTCTCCTTCAAACTATAACTATCCTGACTTGGAACTAATATTGCCATTCCTTCACTATCGTGGATTTCAAAATCTTAGTACTCCCTTCCGGTGTGTCTACCTAACCCCATGGACTGCAGTGATTCAAGACAGCTGTCGTACTTTAAGGGCAAGTAGATGTGGACAATACATGTTTATTTTTAAATTCATTCTTGAGATGTGAACATCATTGACTGGGCCAGTATTTTTTGCCTATTCCTAATTGCCCAGAGGGCATTTAAGTAATATCCACATATTACTATGGATCCAAAGTCACTTGTGGACCAGACCAGATAAGGGCAGCAGATTGTCATCTCTAAGGGCCATTAAAGAACCAGATGGCTGTCGACAATTGACAGTGGTTCCATGGTCACCATTAGGCTAGCTTTTTATTGAATTTAAATTTCACGTCTGACAAGGTGAGTTTCAAACCCATATCCCCAGTACATTAAGCCTGGTTTAGGAGTCCAGTGATGTTACCACTATGCCACAGCCTCCCCTCAAAGGCAGTCTAGCCAGTAATGTCCAAATCCTGTGAATCAGATAAGAAATCACATTATATGATGATATACTTCTTGAAAATTGTATTTGGAATTGGGCATGCACTAACCTTTACAAAAAAAAGGAATATGAATTAATAAATTATATTCTCTATATAGCAGGATGGAACTAGAGCTACACATCTACGATTTGTCATAAAGTCTGGTTTTGATCACTTTGTGTCAGTACACAAGGTTACAGTGGAAGGTACAGAGGAAGATGCCTGAGTCTACACTGCACAACTCTTGCTAACAGGACTTTATGGAACACTGATGTTGAGAAAATTTAACTAGCGTACATCCATCTACAGTATATTTGTTATAAACCATAATTACTGGATTGTTATTCTTGTGAATAAATTATTTTGGTTTTGTAATACTCTGCAGTCTTCATTGGTAATTCCTGAAAGTACTCTTGATTAACATTTGAATGAACCATGAGAACTAGTGCAAGATCTTCCTGTTACACTATTGAAGGATCTTTATCTGATAAATGATCATTCTCTGACGTAAGTCACTTCTGGATCCACCATCAGTATGTGCATTGTACTTTATTACTCTCCACTCTCTCATCATTTTGCCATTCCATGGCCCTTATTTATTGGCCATCCAGAGGTTTGAACCAATATTTAAATCTTTAGAATGAAGGCATGTCAATAGTTTCTTTACACAGAGTGTGGTGGGTGCATGGAATGCACTGCTAGCGGTGGTAGTAGAGTCAGATACATTAGGGACATTTAAGCGACTCTTGGATAGGAACATGCATGATAGTAAAATGAAGGGTATGCAGGTTAGCTTTGATCTTTGAGTAGGATAATAGGTCAGCACAACATCGTGGGCCGAAGAGTCTGTACTGTACTGTGCTGTGCTGTGCTATGTTCTAGTTATAACTTGGATATTAAAACCAATGTGGAGCATTAACTGTAACAAATATTCCACTCCCTTAGAGGTAAATAGTGTTCTTCCACTTAATGCAATAAAAACACATTCAAAAACACTTGGATTGTAATTATTTAATAGTACAGATTGTAAAACTTCATCTTACTGAGTTACATGCTCTTAGCTACATTTCAAAACATCAGTCCACAGCTTTCTCTGGGTTTTGACTGTAAGCTTCATAAACAATGTAGCTAAAATCATTGTACCTACAGTGAGAAACTATATGCTTTAGGTCTTGACAAATAAAGCATAAAATGACAAATATTAAGTTTACACGATTTTCACGCTGGGAAGTTGAAAAGCAGAGTATCAATACTTAACTAGAATTCATTTACTTTGCTGCTTTGGATTTTAAACATTGTCAATATTCTATAAATACTTGTTTTTTCCAGCTATAAGGATTAGTTCAGTGAAATTGGTTGCACCACAATTACTAAATGCTGGTCAAGGAGCTAATATTTTCAAAGGAACGATGGATGATATTTTAGCCACTAAAAAGTAAAACCTCTTATAATAAAGAAAGCAAAGGTGATAACTACTCAGTCCTGACTGAGCAATGGCACGCTACTAAATATCTAACTTTCCCAATCTGTTTGATCTGATTTAACTCCTGATGACAAGTAAATATGATTTTTTTTTGTAATATTAACCAACTGTAATTTTGCTTTTTGCATTGTACAGGGTTGATCAAATTAGTTAATTTTGTGAAGCTGTTTGCTATGCTGTTTTCATAACGAAAGAAAACATAAGTATTCTCGAATTTTGATTCTTAATGACCCTTTTTTCAGTACTTGCCTAATGTCTAATGTCTAATTTGTTTACTATAATTACTGCTTTATTGAAAATGTTGATTTAAGTAGCTCAAATAACAGAAATATTGCAATTAGAAGAATGAATTCTGAACTGAATGAGTTAAGAAATCACATTGTATGTAGAAGTTCACGGCTCTTAAAATAATTGCATTAGGTACTCATTGAAGATAGTGCACAGAAATCATTGCACACTAATGATGTAACATTAAAAGTGAGATTATTAATTCATACACAATTGTATCTTCCTGAACATAGTATATGAAACACACATCCCTTTTGGATATAATACATGATTCTGTAAACAGATCAAGTAGACAGAACCAATGTTTATTTTCAAATCTTCTGATTAATTTGTAAATTTGTGAAATGATTTCAGTGTAAGAATGCTACCATGTTTCTAAGTGATTGCTACATGTGCTTCCACAAAAAAAAAGGCATTTTGATTAGCCTGAAGAGAAAATAGAAGAGAACGGGAAGGATTATAGATAGAATGCCACTTGTAAATCTTAAAAGCCCACTCTAACCTTCCATCTATATAGGAAAACAAGATCAAGGGACAATATTTTATGACTGGAATTTGCAGGAATCCATGAACCTTGTTCATTTCGGAATAAGGTTGTGTTTGTTTTTGTCAAGTTTTTTTTAAAAACACAGTCAATGATGAATGTTTTAAAGTATACACTGGTGAGGTATCATGATTTTTTCTTACACCCTGCTGCCACCGGCACTCCCTCCTAAAAAAAAAGGTGGAATGTACTGTCCTAACTTTCAAATGCTATTACAATGATTTAAAATGATAATGATGCATTACAATTTTCATATATACGAAAGCATAAAATAAGCATACACCTTTGGGGTCATGTCCAATAGTGACCCAGACCAGCGAGTGGCTAAAATAGCCTCTGAGCATCTGCAGTGGCGCAGTTTAAGGCAGCGATGGAATCCAAAGTACAGTTTTACATACATTAAAATTTTAGCACTATGGTGTCACGTAGTTGTATCTATTGTACACAAATTTGGGTGACATCTGTCCTGAAGAAGCAAAAAATAGTTTAAGCACTCGTTAAATGCTGGCTGTTACTCTTGATGGGATTAGAATGTCTGTCTTGTCCAAGCTTGCAATAATTAAGAGGTGTATGTCTTTAAAGTTAGTGATGTTGGTAGAAATATTAGATCTATATGATCTAATTAAGTGAAAAATTATACATGTACTAAATAAAAGTATAGAGGATATTAAACTGATCTCCCGCAGCTGGGTCATGAGATTTCACCTACTATTGCCAGTTTTTGACAGTTCCTACACATTCACTCAAGTAGTTTCACGGAAGTGCTATTTTGTTTCTAAGTTCCTTAAAGGGGGTAGCAGTCCTGTTTAATATGTATTTAAAATGTATAAATCCGTACGTTAGTACAAGATGGTAGTCCTAAATAAAAGTTAGAAATAGATAGTATATAAGGAAATTTCAAAGAGATAAAAAGCAGTAGACTGTAGGGCCACGCTGGTGGAGGAAACTGTTTTATTTCCTGCAGTGTATTCAGGTCCCGAGAGACTGTTATTGAGGGCTAATTAATATTATAATCTTTTCATAGTTTCAACTGAATTATTGAGACAATATTGGGGATGGTATTGTTCTAAGTAGGTTACAGTACTAACACTTATTTATGGGTAGCCTTTGATACAGAAACAGGTCTAACCACTGCTTGTAGCATGGGGCCGATAAGAATTGAAAGGTGTAAAGAAACAGTAATAGGCTGGCAGCCTAGGAAGGAATGTTTGATTTAGTTTATCTTGTAAGCGTATTACAAAAACATGGTTTTATGAATGAATGAATGAATGGAAACATGGGATAGTAAACAGAGCACTTGTGAGTAACTTAATTAAGAGAATCATGATACAATACCTCACACACCAAATAACTTTTCTTCCATAGTCATATCATCAGATCCCAGTAACCAATTTAAAACCAAGAAAATCACTATAAATATGGAAGAAACCTTATTTGATTTGCTTGTATTATATCATTCATTTGCACCCGAGAGTGCCAATGAACGCTATCTCAAGGCTTCCTGCCGGTAGTGATTCCACCAGTATTTTAATTTACATTTTGTAAAAGTAATCGCACTTCTTCAGGTCTATATCCCCAAGGACCCCTTGCACCCTGAAAAACAAAAATGAAAACAATTAGTTAGATGGATCAATTAACATACTTCTTCACTCTCTGCCAAAGCCCGATGATACATTAACTTCACTTGTGACCCAACAGATTTGACAAACTCTACTCCCTTTCTCCAGAACAAATATCTGTCCTTATTCTAGCTTTTTCATTCATGAAATTGTACGATTGCGATTATTCTGCTCCATTCAGTCAGGAGTATAAAACACTAAATAAAATACAGTATTTTTTCTTGTTCCTTTAAGTTTGTGTGTTACCTTTCATAATAAATTTCTAAATTAAAAAATGATCAAAACACAACTACTGATATAAATTATCAATAAATTCAGTTAGTCGTTATGTTTGGGCAGGTTAGCTTGATGGCTAGCATATGTTTCAGAATACAACAACAATAACAGCAGGGGTTTAAATGCCATTCTGCCAGAGTCAGATTCGGGACCTGCTTCCTTACCCTGCCAGGAATGGAAGGCATTCGTAAACCACCACTGACAAACAAGGGGAGAACAAAGAAAATGGATCAGGATGAATCATCACCAGAAAGTGAGCCAAGTACTTGCCTTTAGGAACAGCAATATGACATGACATGACATGACATTAATCAGTCCCATTACAAGTTTTTCACTCATAGGATGAGGGTGTCACTATTTATTACTGTATTAAATACTGTATCAGTATTTATTGCCATTCCTAATTACCCAGAGAGCAGTTCAGAGTCAACCATATGGCTGTGGGTCTGGACTCATTTGTAGACCAGATCAGGTAAGGATGGCAGATTTTCTTCTCTAAAAAAAAGGACAGAAGTCACCCAGAGATAGTAGGAACTGCAGATGCTGGAGAATCCGAGACAACAAGGTGCAGGGCTGGATGAACACAGCAGGTCAAGCAGCATCATAGGAGCAGAGAGGCTGACGTTTCGCGCCTAGACCCTTTTTCTGATGGCACCCTTCATGGTGGGCATTAGACTTTTAATCCCAGATTTTTATTGAATTCAGATTCCACCATCTGACATGACAGGATTTGAATTTGGGTCTCTACTAATAGTCTAGCAATAATACCACTAGGTATTATCCATAATGAGAATGAGAAACATTTGAGTGGACACAGCTGAGTTTAGGAATACCACTGACCACAACAATTGTTTTGATGCATTTTGTAAATGAGCTAGTTCTTCAAAGAGGCTTTAATGACCAGCCCTTTTTGTCATCCATGGATTTATGTTTTATTTAAATTTTAGTTTGAACTGATATTATGGAACTTGGACTGAAGGTCAACTGCCAACCGTTATGCAAAATTTTACCATAAAATCTGCACTGTGTCTCAATCCATGATGTGGCTGTTGAGCTGATTTTCTTTTTAACCACTGTTTCTTTCTATTTGATTCTTATTACCATCAATTTTTAATGAAATATTCAAATCTGCACCACTTTCCAATTTTCTCTTCGGGTATCAAAGAAATTTCTACCCTACACCAAACATATATCCCTTCAGAATCATTTCTAGCACAACATTCAAATGCTTCAATAATTCAGAAAATTAAACCCACAAATTTATTTATAAATTTACCCAAGTCATCTTTAAATTATTCCAACAACTTTTATCTGCATAGCTCAAAACCACCAGGCTCATGAGCATCTCTGACCTTCTGTGCATCTCTGACCTTCTGTACATCTCCTGATTGGTTAGATAACTTGATTGCTGCTTTTTAATTAAGACAATTAACACAGGTACAGAAGTAGGACATCTGGCCCATCAAGTCTGTTCCACAATTCAATTAGATCATTATTGATCTGATAATGCTCAACTTCAATTTCCTGTCCTCATAACCCCGGATTCCCTTACTAATTAAAAAAAAAAGTGTCTATCTCAACTTTGAATATTCTTAATAACCAAATTTCAACAGTTCTTAGTGGTAAAGAATTCCACATATTCACAACTCTCAAGAGAAGAAATTTCTCAGCAGTCCTAGAATGGACAAGTCCTTACTTTGAGATTGTGCCCTCTAGTCCTAGACTCCTACAAGGGGAAAACAACCTCACCACACTTAACCAGTAAAGGCTCCTAAGAATCTTAGGTCACCTCTCATTCTTCTAAACTCCAATTAGGATAGGGCCATCCTAATTGATATAAGAAAATCATTCCATACCTGGGATCAACCTAGTGAACCATCTCTGGATTACTTCCAATACCAGTATATTTTTCCTTAGTTAAGTGAATCAAAACTATTCACAGTATACTAGGTATTAACTGACTAATACTTTGTATAGTTTGAGCAAGACTTCTCTTTTTTAAACTCCATTCCCTTTGAAATAAAGGCCAACATTCCATTTGCCTGCCTTGTTGCTCAGTAAACATACATGTTTCGCTTTTTGTGATTCGTGCATGAGGAACCCCATCTCTCTCTGTACTGCAGCTTTCTCCCTTTAAATAATACTCACTTCTCTCTTTCCAAAGTGCATAACTTCACATTTTCTCCACATTATAATCCATCTGCCAAGTTTTTGTCCACTCACTTAACCTGCCTTTATTCCTCTACTTTCTCCTCCTCACCACTTACCCCCCGACTTTCCAAACCTCTAGGACTTTTCTAGAATCTAAGAATTCTTAGAAGATTATTACTAATGCGTTCAATAACACTGTAGCTTTATAGTGTTTATGAATAGCTTGGATGAGGAAAATGAATGTTTTCATGTCAGGTCAGTGGATGACAAAAATACGTGCGGAGGCAAATGGTGAGTAGGACACTGTACAGTAATAAAAGTAGGTTAAGTAATCTGTTGCTATTCCCCTAGTATTCTAGGATGTAATCCATCAGGTCCAAGGGACATAATGGGCATTTAGCACCCTTAGGTTCCCTAGTACTTTTTCTCTACTGATAATTTCCTCCCCATTTTTGCCCCTTGATTTAGTCTTTTTGAATGAAATTAGTATCCTCCATTATGAAGACCGATGCAAAGTATCTACTCAACTTCTTTGCCATTTTTTATTCCCCATTATTATTTACCCAGCTTCATTTTCTAAGGAGCCTATGTTTACTTTGGCTTCTCTCTTCCTTTTCATATAATTTATCATGTTACGGTCACTGTTTCCGAAGGGATCTTTTATTCTGAAGTCACTTATTAAAGTTGCTTCATTATACATTAACAGATCCAAAATAACCTGATCTCTGGTTGGATCCACAGCATTGTTGCTTTGAGAAACTCTGCTGAATTCATAGTGTATTCTTCCTTACAACTACCCCTGCCAATTCGATTTTCACAATCCACATGAAAAGTCACCTATGATTAATGTGCGGCCTTTTCCACACTTCTTCATTACTTTCTGATTAATTTTCTGTCCTACAGTAGAGCTACTCTTAGAGGCTTATAGACTATGCCCAATCTTCCCCTTTTGAGGTTTCACTTCCACCCATATAGATTCTCTAACCTCCTTTCCAAGAACATTTCTTGCCATCATGCTTATTCAATTCCATATTTAAAAAAGTCTACCCCATCATTCTTTCCTTCCTACCTGTCTCACTCCCCAGAATATTTAATTCCCAGCTTTGATCTCCTTGTAACATGTCTTTGTAATGGTCAGAATATCATACACGTGAACATCTATTTGTTCTGTTAATTTATTTACTTTGTTTCAATTACTACATATTATAGTAATCTAACTCAGATTTGTCTGAATATATTTTATTTGATTCAAGTAATAGATGGAAAGAACAAGCCAGGTCCCAAGCTGTTTGTTTTTAGGTCATGGGAGTTAGGTAGACAATAAAAATAATTCAGTATAGTATTACTTTCAATCTTTTAAAAAGAAATAGTATGATTGAGGAACAGAGACTGAAAGCATAGTAAGGCCAGAGTACAGTTGTACAGTAATTACATTAAGCAGCTTGAAACTAAACTATTAGAGAAGCACTCTCATATATAGAATTGTAACCCAGTAGGGATGGACCTCTTCAGAAAAAGCAGAGGGCTGAAAGTCAAATGCATTATTCTGTGCTCCAGGGCTTAAGTAGAAAGATAATATCAACTCAAAATAGAAAAACAAGGTGAAATGTTTAAATAGACATTGACTTCATCATGAATGTCAAAATACTAGATACCTTGTAAATGATTTTGCCATTGAGCACCACATACAGTCTTTCTGGCATAGCTGCATATTTGGCACTAGTCGCATTATCCATAGTGTCCACTACCACTGGACATTGTGCCTTCTCATTTAGCAATAGCCTTGCTGCATCCAATCGCTCACTTAACGTCTGATGTTGTTTGATATCCACATTGTTTTTGAAAGCCCAGCCATCTGTAAAAAAAAATAGAAACTTGAGCAAAAGTTGAAAAGATCACATTATACCTGTCATTTGGCTATAGATGATATAGAAAACTGCCACTTCTCAAGTTGGGAATGAGTAGAACTAGTCAAACTTGACAGAAAACAAAAACACCAAACTCTATTTATGTGAAGAAGAAAGCATAACAGATTACATTTTAAAAAAAAAAAAGAACTGCGGACGCTGTAAATCCGGAACAAAAACGAAGTTGCTGGAAAAGCTCAGCAGGTCTGGCAGCATCTGTGAAGAAAAAAATTAGAGTTTACGTTTCAGGTCTGGTGACTCTTGCTCCGAACTGATGGTGGCCGGGAAAACGTCAGTTTATGTGCATATAAACTGACATTTTCACAGCCACCATCAGTGCCGAGGAAGGGTCACCGGACCCGAACAGATTACATTTAATCTGATTTTAAAAAAAGCCTAGGTAAAGGGCCCAAGTACATTCCGCTGGAAACCATAACAATTGGTAGCAGCAAGATACATTTGGAGAAGTACATGAATAAGAAATGTTTGGAGGGATATGGGCCAAGCAGAGGCAGGTGGGACTAGTTTACTTTGGGATTGTGGGTGGCATGGACTGGTTGGACCAAAGGGTCTGTTTCCATGCTGTATGACTCTATAAAGCAAAGGAATCAGTGGTTCAGGGAACACCGGGTTTTGTTTTATATTTTTTCTCCTGGTTTTCACCTCGTGTGCAGTATTCACTCAAAAGGAATCACAGCTAATCTTACACTCATCTAACATTTACATTTTCCAATTGGTTCAATAGTTATTAGTTAGTAGGAGCATTCTCCAGGCTTTGTCTCCATAGGAGACTGACTTGCATAAACCAACTTCAGTTGGGATGAGCTAGCCAGCAGTCTGGGACTGGAACCTGGGGCATTATGGAATATATGGACTGTAATCATTTACCACCTAGCCTTTGGTATACATGAAAGATAAAAATTTGATAAGGATTTGCAAACTCAAAAGATTTTTTTTATACCTGTGGCATGAGCCTCCTGAATGTAGACAACAAGGAAATCAGCTACAGATGTAAAATCTTCAACAAGCTGCTTGAACTCAGCAAACTTGAAAAGAAATGGGGGTCAGGAGCAGCTTCCAAAATTCAAGATCAGTGGTCTGTTGTCTAAGAGAGAGCGAGAAAATAAAATCTGAGTGTTTGATACATAAAATGGAAAGAGTTAAAGTTCAACTCAGCAAGAATATAAACTGCTCCTTCACCTGATGAAGGAGCAGTGCTCTGAAAGCTTGCAATTTCAAATAAACGTGTTAGACTATAATCTGGTGTTGTGTGACTTCTGACAATAACACTATAGTGGTCCGTTAGCATGTTGTAAGTTAAGTGACAGAAAAATTGTTGAGGTGTGCTAAATAGACCCTTCTTCAGAAATGGGGGAGGGGAAGGGGATTCTGAAATAAATAGGGAGAGAGGGGGAGGCGGATAGAAGATGGATAAAGAAGGAGAAGATAGGTGGAGAGGAGACAGACAGGTCAAAGAGGCGGGGTTGGAGCCAGTAAAGGTGATGTAGGTGGGGAGTTAGGGAGGGGATAGGTCAGTCCAGGGAGGACGGACAGGTCAAGGAGGCGGGATGAGGCTAGTGGGCAGGAGATGGGGGTGGAGTTGAGGTGGGAGGAATGGTTAGGGAGATGGGGACGAGCTGGGCTGGTTTTGGGATGCGGTCAGGGGAGGGGAGATTTTAAAGCTTGTGAAGTCCACATTGATACCATTGGGCTGCAGGGTTCCCAAGCGAAATATGAGATGCTGTTCCTGCAACCTTCGGGTGGCATCGTTGTGGCACTGCAGGAGGCCCAGGATGGACATGTCGTCCAAGGAGTGGTAGGGGGAGTTGAAATGGTTCGTGACTGGGAGGTGTAGTTGTTTGCTGCGAACCGAGCGTAGGTGTTCCACAAAGCAGTCTCCAAGCCTCTGCTTGGTTTCCCCGATGTAGAGGCGGCCACAATGGGAACAGCAGATATAGTATACCACATTAGCAGATGTGCAGGTGAACACCTGTTTGATGTGGAAGGTCTTCTTGGGACCTGGGACGGGGGTGAGAGGGGAGGCGTAGGGGCAGGTGTAGCACTTGCTGCGGTTGCAGGGAAAAGTGTCGGGGGTGGTGGGGAGTATGGAGCGGACAAGGGAGTCACGGAGAGAGTGGTCCCTCCGGAAAGCAGACAAGGGTGGGGAGGGAAAAATGTCTTTGGTAGTGGGGTCAGATTGCAGATGGCAGAAGTGTGGGAGGATGATGCGTTGGATCCGGAGGTTGGTGGGGTGGTACGTGAGGACGAGGGGGATTCTGTTTTGGTTGTTATTGTGGGTAGGGGATGTGAGGGATGAGTTGCGGGAAATGCGAGAGACGCGGTCGAGGCGTTTTCGACCACTGTGGAGGGGAAGTTGCGGTCCTTGAAAAACGAGAACTATCTCCCAGAAGGAGTAGTTGCTCCTGTTCAGTATAGAGGGCAGATGAGTGAAGGTGGCTTGAAAACAATGCTCAGGAAAGTTTGACGTTTCTGACAAAAAGGATTCTGTGGGGGAAAAAGGTCATCTCGTCTAGGATGTGCTCAAATCAAGCCTCCTGAAAAAGTTACTGATTATTTTTGAAAGATAACATCAGTATGGGACTCTTTATTTGGTTCTGAAGATGAAGAGGTGGGTGACTTTTATGAATTTTAACATAATATTATTTTCTATGCTTTAAAAGAATGAAATTGTATACCTGAAAATATATCTATGACATTTGTTTTCCAAGAATTTGGAAATCCTCACGAATTGAGGACACAGAAATTAAAAAAAAAGATGTTATTTATTTATAAATAGAAATACTTTTGGATCCATTTGCGCTACTTTTGAGGTTGGCGGTAATAATCTGCAACCTGGCAACTCTGACAGAGCAAGATGAAGATATAGAGCACGTTCAAATTCTCCAAAAAAAGTTACTCACGTAAAAGTTCAGCCTTGCTACTTGATTACAAATTTTGATCTTAGAAATTCGACATTTACATCGATGTGGGCTGTATGTAGACTCTGCACAAGAAGTAAATTCTTCAGAAGGAACGGTTGTACCTTGTTGCACAAGGTGGGACGAACACACATAAATTACGTACAGTCCACATAAAGGATTGATAAGTCTCCTGGCCCTGATGGAATGCATCCCAGGGTACTAAAAGAGATGGCGGGAGAAATAGCAGGTGCACTGGCGGTAATTTTCCAAAATTCGCTGGACTCTGGGGCAGTCCCAGCAGATTGGAAAACAGCAAATATGACGCCACTGTTTAAAAAGGGAAGTAGACAAAAGATGGGGAATTATAGACCAGTTATCTTAACCTCTGTAGTGGGGAAGATGCTCCAGTCTATTAACAAGGAAGAAATAGCAAGGCATTTTGATAGAAATTGTCCCGTTGGGCAGATGCAGCATGGGTTCACGAAGGGCAGGTCATGCTTGACAAATCTTTTGGAATTCTATGAAGACATTACGAGCGAGGTGGACAATGGGGACCCAGTGGATGTGGTGTACCTAGACTTCCAAAAGGCCTTTGACAAGGTGCCGCACAAGAGGCTACTGCATAAGATAAGGATGCATGGCATTAAGGGTAAAGTATTAGCATGGATAGAGGATTGGTTGACTAACAGGAAGCAATGAGTGAGGATAAATGAGTGCTATTCTAGCTGGCAGTCAGTGACTAGTGGTGTGCCTCAGGGATCGGTGTTGGGACCGCAATTATTTACAATTTATATAGATAACTTGGAGCTGGGGACCACGTGTAGGGTGTCAAAGTTTGCAGATGACACTAAGATGAGTGGCAAAGCAAAGTGTGCAGAGGACTGTGAAACTTTGCAGAGGAACATAGATACATTGAGTGAGTGGGCAAAGGTCTGGCAGATGGAATACAATGTAAATAAATGTGAAGTCATACATTTTGGTAGGAGTAATAGTAAAAAGGATTATTACTTGAATGGTAAAAAGTTGCAGCATGCTGCTATGCAGAGGGACCTGGGTGTCCTTGTGCATGAATCACGGAAGGTAGGTTTGCAGGTACAACAAGTAATTAGGAAGGCAAATGGATTGAGATTAAAAGCATAGAGGTTATGTTGCAGCTGTACAAGGTGCTGGTGAGGCCACACCTGGAGTACTGTGTGCAGTTTTGGTCTCCTTACTTGAGAAAGGATGTACTGGCACTGGAGGGGGTGCAAAGGAGGTTCACTAGGTTGATTCCGGAGTTGAGGGGGTTGGCTTATGAGGAGAGACTGAGTAGATTGGGATTATATTCATTGGAATTCAGAAGATTGAGGGGGGATCTTATAGAAACATATAAAATTATGAAGGGAATAGATAAGATAGAAGTAGAGAGGATGTTTCCACTGGCAGGTGAAACTAGGACAAGAGGGCATAGCCTCAAGACTAGAGGGAGCAGATTTAGGACTGAACTGAGAAGGAATTTCTTCACCCAGAGGGTTGTTAATCTATGGAATTCCTTGCCCAGTGAAGTAGTTGACGCTACTTCAGTAAACGCTTTTAAAAAAAAGGTAGTTTTTTTTGAACAATAAAGGAATTAAGGGATACGGTGAGAACGCGGGTAAGTGGATCGGAGCCCACGAAAGGATCAGCCATGATCTTATTGAATGGCGGAGCAGGCTCGAAGGGCCAGACGGCCTACTCCTGCTCCTAGTTCTTGTGTTCTTTGTGTAAAGCGAAATTGGTTTGACTTAATTTTAAAAAGAAGCTCGTTAAAGAAAGTATCCCAACTATATCTGAATAGGTTTTCAGATTTTGACCTTTACCATCAAGAAATTCAGTTACATTTTTAAACCACAGATTACACGGAATAGGTTGAGTGCATTGGTGGAAGTCCAAAAATCCCAGAAAATGTTACTGCTGTCAATATAATTCTTATTGTTGCCCTAATGCTAATTAATAGTGTAGATACCTTTCGCAAAATCGAATAGTTTATGTTCTTTATTCTCCAAATCGATGACCCGTGTATTGGGAGCGGGATAACCTTTGAAAGCTTCATCGCCACTATTCATGAGTAGGTGATGAATTACGACTTTGGCAGTGCGAAAGCTGAAGAATGTTGGCCCCCAGTCTTCATACTTAAACTTTGGGTTTTGTGTCATGGTGGTTTTCAATCCGATTTTCAGCATGAACTTCTTCATCGTCTCGGGAAAAAGGTAGGCCAAGATTTTGCCGACGGACACAGGAAAACAAGCCAAGAGCACGAAGACCAATGTCTCCAAGTAGGCAGCCACTTTCCGCAAACGCACAGCTAGATTCCCCATGACCGCAGAAAAACTGCTGCTGCTCTCTTTTCTCTTGCTGCGCCTGCGCGGCACTCCACCTCCCACTTGCTGCGCATGCGCTGCCACCGCCTTCTGCTCTCTTTCCTCTTGCTACGACTGCGCGAGGCTCCTCCTCTTACCGCGCTTGCGCCGCCGCCGCTGCCACATCCTTCTGCTCTCTTTCCTCTTGTTACGGCTGCGCGGGGCTCCTCCTCTTGCCGCGCTTGCGCCGCCGCCTTCTGCTCTCTTTCCTCTTGTTACGGCTGCGCGAGGCTCCTCATCTTGCCGCGCATGCGCCGCCGCCGCTGCCGCATCCTTCTGCTCTCTTTCCTCTTGTTACGGCTGCGCGGGGCTCCTCCTCTTGTCGCGCTTGCGCCACCGCCTTCTGCTCTCTTTCCTCTTGTTACGGCTGCGCGAGGCTCCTCCTCTTGCCGCGCTTGCGCCGCCGTCTCCTCCACTGTATGTGAGACCCTCGAAACACATCATTTCCGTGGGAGCTCTCATTGGGCGGAAACGTCCGTGGGTAGGGAATCCCAAGATATCAGAAACGGGGAAACTGAAAATCATCCGATTCAGAGAAAACAAAAATAAAGGCAATGTATTGAGTGGAATTCCAAGCACAACTGATAAGTGAGTAAAACTGGATAGACTCGAGGACAACTATATGTACGTGTATAGACGAGTCTTCAGCTTCCGTTGATCAAATCAAAAACAAAAATAAAAATGAACTGAATCAACAGAGAATGATGGAGAGGGTTGCGGAGTTTTTAATCAGTTAGTTTATTAAAGTCTGCGGGGACTGACAGTGCCTTTAAGAAGGGTGGCTGTGGCTCCGAATCCGATCCGGACTAGGCCCATCATCCTAGATCCGGATTTAAACGGCTGATGTAAATACTGGGCGGGGGCGGGAGAGGGAGAGGTCTGTGTCTACCTTCTCCATGTCAACACAGTGGAATTTTACTATTCCCATGATTATAAATGGAGGAACGAGAGTAAATTATCACCATAGTAACCGCTGTCTTGAAATCCAATGCAAGTAAAATGCTGTGCTGCCAGGAAATCTGATTTTTTTTTAAAAAAAGTCTAACTCCGCAAGTCTGGTCGTATCTGTGAAAGAGTCCTATCAAATTCGAAACGTTAACTCTGTTTCTGTCTGCTAGAACTGCCGAATCTCTTCAGCATTTTCTGTTTTTATTCTCTCAAAATCCGGATCTCCCATCAACAGCGCCCTGATTGTTTTATTTTGATTTATTATTGTCACGTACCGAGATGCATTGAAAAGTATGTTTTGTGTGATAACCAGACAAATCATACCTTACATAAGTACATTAGGGTAATAGAACGGAATGCAGAATATAGTGTTACACCTGCAGAGAAAGATCAACTCCAGTACATAAGATAACAACAGAGAAGAAGCTCTTCTTAAATCTGTTAGTACGTGTTTTCAAGCTTTTGTATCTTCTGCCTGATGGAAGATGCTGGAGGAGAGTATAACCGGCGAGAGGGGTTGACTGCTTTCCCAAGGCAGCAGGAAGTGTACACGGAGTTAATGGCAGGAAGGCTGATTTTCGTGGTAAACTGGGCTGTGTTCGCAACTTTCTAATTTCTTGTGGTGTTGGGCAGAGCAGTTGCCACACCAAGCTGTGATGCATCCGGATAGGAAGCTTTCTACGCACAGCTGGCGATTTGTAACTCCCCAGGGATAGGGCCATCAGTTTGTTCAAAGGTACATTCACCATCAGGTCAGCCCAGTGGAGCTGATAATTTGAAATCAATTGACCCGATGAGGAGCTAACTTGTCAAAAAACCCTTTGCTTTTGTTCATTGCAGTATTGTTCATTTATCATCCTTGCCTTAAGTAGTTTAACATCTTAAACTTCAAATCAAGCTTCCTTGGCATCCATGATTGCACATCATAACGGAATAGCTTCTCTATGGAGGACTACCAGTAATTTGCCAGGTATAAGCAGAGTAACAACACTAAAAGTAGGCAGATATCAGTTATATCATGGATTTCCCATAAATCTTAACCAATTGTAATGAATTGGTTTTAGTATATTGGAAGTCTAATTTAATATCTTTTTTTCCATTAAAAATTTAGGCCAAGATTTCATGTTCTATAGTCATTCTGTCATTGTCGTAGCAGCAGCCAGAGTAATGTTTCCAAAAGTCTAGGAAAATGCATTCAGCTTAGAATATATAGATTCTGCTAGTCTCTTCTGGTTTCAGAATCAGAGGGAACATTTACCTTTCCCCAAACTAGGGGTGCTGAAAAGAATCATAGCATCAGTCTGCTGTCAAACAGAGATTGGTTAATGTAATATCACCCAAGGTTAGAACCAGTGACTTTTTGATCAGTGTAGTTGAGTCTAGATTGTATTCGGGAACCAGAGTTGAAAATTATCCGTATTATTGTGTTCCATACTTAACTACTGAACAAGAGTGCTTAATCTCATTTGTTATCAGGATATCAATGAGACCTCCTGTAAGCTAAATTAATTTTATCTTGTACACCGTATGGGAGTGATATTGTATGTTAAAATCTAACCACATTTGTTTACTTCTGCCAATTTATCTAACAATTTTTGAATTAACTTAAAATTTGTGATGTTTCTTTTGGATTTTAATGCATACTAATTTGGACATGTTATAGCACAAAATATCCCCCATAGTTTGAGTTACAGATAGGTTTTAGAGTGGTCTGAGCATGATGTCATCTGTTGTTGGAACTACTTTTGTTTTTCAGACAAATCTTCTGGTTGACCATTTCATTGGTCTATCAATCAAGTAAATGGCAGCTGCAGATGATTTACAGTTTCAAGGTAATTGAATTTTATGATTGAGTTTTGAATGCAATGATGTTTGCTTCAGCTTTACCATTGTACAATAATACCTCCAACACAATGGTTTATTCTTCATGAAAACAGTTTTACTTTCCCTCCTTTCTTACTCTTTTTTTAAATTGTTTTGTCACTTTTGAAACTTTCATCAAGATAAAAAGATTGTATGAATCAACATTATCCAACTTTTTAATTGTTCTTGAAAGCATCTGAATTGAAGGAGAATGCTGCAGTGTAGTATTAGTAACAATTCCAAACGTGTCCCATTATATATATCTTCCTCAACACAAACTCTTGTTTCTTTATGACAATTCTTCAATCTTGCTTTTAACAATAATATTATAAATTGCTTAAAGTAAGTTAACGTATACATTGATACATAAATATTTCTAATAGGGATACTGATTTTTGGGTTGCTCATTTAATGATTGGCAGAACTGGAAATCTCTTACCTTATATTTTGGTATTCACTCACTTCATTTTTGACCACCTTTCTTCAGGCTATAATTTAATGGGTTTCCCTTTCCTTCTCTAACTTTTGATATTCTTTACAAGTACTTAAATTCCTAATTCTCGTTAGTGTTTAGATGGATTAAGCCCTATTTTTAAACTCAATATTGGAACTTCTGGTTTCTTAACTTATGTTCATTGTTGATTAATGGACAGTGCTCTGTTATGACAACATTTAAGGCATTGCCTCAAAATGGTCAATGAGCTAAAAGTTTGAGTGTCTGTATGTGTGTATGTATAGCCCCCTTTTAGTTTGTGAGTGACTTTAAAGAAAAGGAAGGTATTGATCTTAAACAAGGTAAAGATTAGTTGAATACAAAATACTTTTGCAAGTAAAAGAATTAGAATCATAGAATACCTACTTATTAAGTCCACACAGACCCTCTGAAGAGTATCCCACCCAGACTTACACTGTCTGTGTTATCCTGCATCCCCCATGCCTAATCCACCTAGCCTGCACATCCCTGTACACTATGGGCAATTTAACATGGCCAGGTCACCTGACCTGGACATGTTTGGACTGTGGGAGGAAACCAGAGCACCCAGAGGAAACGCACGCAAACAGGGAGATTTGCAAACTCCACGCAGACAGTTGCTCAAGGCTGGTTAGGCGATAGTTCTACCACTGGACCACTGATTCACTAAATTGCTAACTAAATACATGCAAGGATGAAATGAAGATGAGTGTAAAACTACCTTATGAAATTCAATTCCTTCCATTAAGATATTGTTGCAGGCTCATAGTTTGCAGTTGAAGTGTTAGTTGTCTGGACTGCGGGTGAAATTGAAAAGTTGTGTTCAGTAGCTGAGATGGCTTCCCAAGTCAAATACTCAAGATTTTTCCTTTGGACTCAGTAGATAGAGCATTTTCAGGGTTGAGTGAAGGTATCTTTTCTTTAGTGGTTCTACTGGCACAAGACATGAAAACTGCCTGGTTTTCTGAACACCATCCTTTGTAATTCCCTGTGTCAGCGAGAAAGTCCAACTCTCAGGGGACGTTTAAATGAGAACAACAGATGGAATTCTCTTCACAAGTTCTCCTGAGGTCTCTATATAAAATATCTGTTCCAATCCAGATATTTACACAGTTCAAAATTCACTATGGTTGCTATCCTAAACTGTTATGTCATGTACCCAGATCAGTTATTGGTTTAATCCAAATCAGATATTGGTTTAGCCCAGGGTTGGAACATATTCCCATCTAATATCTTTTAGCTTAAGTAGTTTTTTTTAAAAATTAATGATCTTCGCCATTAACTTGAATGGTTCCCATTTTCCCAGATTTGGTGAAGTAGGAAAGAACTAGTCATACTTTCAGGGAATCCACTGTCAATGAGTTTCTGTTCAACCCTATTGAAATGATTGTTAAATTTCAAAAATCTTTAATCCTTTTTGAGATAACTGCAGTCTGGTTCTAACCACAATTGAATTCACAAGAGAAGTCAGATGGCTTGAAAGCCCCCTTTGTATCAATTTCTAGAAGGATATTGCAGTTCATTGTAAAATCTGTAAAATTCTAATTACACTTTTGTGATATACCTTCCACCTTTCAGGAACTAAAGTTTTTTTTTTCCAGCAAAGTTATGTGGAAGCAGAAGAGAATAAATGTACAGATTTTTTTTCTCCACAGACATACACAGATAGCTGATGCATTGCATCTTCCGTCTTATGTTTTCCCATTAGATTTTATTAGGACATTTCTCTCCTTTTTTTCCAGAGTTTGGAACTCCACTGGACTCTCCATCTGTAGCTTTCTCACCATTCAGAACTGAAAAGAATGAATCCGACAGATGCGTACATAACTTGATTGCTGCTTTTTACTTGGAAGCATATCCTGTAAATTTCCCAGAGTTAAATCTATTAAGTTCTCCCTTTGATGTAACATGTTAGCCATGGGTCTTTGACTTCCAGACCCTTTCTTTTAAAAGTTGGGTATTGGCTTTCCTGTTCTGTCCATCATCTTTTCCCTTAAAATCCATTCTCTTCTGTGTTTCCTCTTCCTCTTTTCCATGAGATGCAGGCAACCTGACCCACGCCTGCTGTAATTCAGCAGTCTACGAGTTAACTCACAATCCTCGATTTTCATGGCAGCTTCCCTCACAGAGATAACTTCCACTCCTCTAGGTACACTGTAAAGGAGTCAATTTTGAACTCCTCTAACTGTACCTATCGTTCTCTCATAAGTACTCTGGGCAGAATCTTATAGAGATCTGAGCTATGGCAGAATTGCATAAGACGCCTGGTGAGGCCCATTATGAATGCTCAATTGTGAAGTCTGTCTCATTTAGCACAGTGTAACGTATCCTCATTGTGAAGGCAAGGACAATACAGTGGTCACTCTTACCATATTGTCACAGACAGATGCATCTGTGGCAGGCAGATTGGTGAAGATGAGATCAGGTATGTTTTTCCCTCTTGTTGGTTCTGTCACCACCAGGTGCAATCCTAGTCTAGCAACAATGTCCTTTAGGACTTGGCCAGCTTGATCAGTAGTGGTGCTGCTGAGCCACTCCTGGTGGTGGATATTGAACTCCCCCACCCAGAGCACATTCTGCGCCCTTGCTACCCTCTGCTTCTTCCAAGTGCCAGTGACTTCTTCCTCGATCAGATGCAGAACTGTTGCAGGTGAGGTGCTCACCAGCTTATGGTCCTGCACTTTCTAAGCCTGATGATCCCACTGAGATGTCAGTATCTGAGCTGGTTGGGAGTACAAGCCTAGACGACGCTTTCTCTGAGGCCTCCAAACTTTGTTCTCAGAGGTAAGGTTGGGGGAGCCAGCTGCTTTACGGTGGAGATGTTGGATATGCTGGCAGTACCTACGAGACAAAAGAGAGAGAAGGAGTTGCAGCTAATGCTTAGAAGTCATGTGCAGTGGATGACACTGAAAGCAGGGTAAAGGTGGGAGTTGCAATGGAAAAATTCATGACCTATGTCAATGCAGGAACAGTCCCAGTCCTCTGCAAGGGCCAGGATTCTCTTGTAAGGGGTATTACAACCGTATGTGCCCTTTCCACCCTTTTACAAACTCTCTTCTGTAATAAGAGAAAGGGAGGAATTGAGTGAGATGCAAGTGATGGTACAGCTGTTAGTGCTGGTGAGGATGGTGGTAAGGTTGTGAGGTAGGCAGCACAGAGGGCATGCTGGGTTAGTGGTGTAGAAGAACAGAAGATGTTGCAGGAAATAGTTAGAGTCGCAGAACATTAGCCTTGATGGGAGGTGGGTGGGGTAGCAGAGATAGAATGAGTGCAGAGAGAATAGTGTGGCACTCGTGCAGGTGCAGCAGAGAATGTCATTGACCTTATGGTACTGCTGCCGTTCTTCTGTTCTGTGGAGATGTCAATGACCTTGGTGACCAGGCTGTCAGGGACTGATGTGTGAATTCTCCTTTGCACCACCCCTTCAACAAGGACCTTCGGGTCCCTGTTGGAAAATTGTAGCCCCATCTTCTGGAAAAATCCTTGACTGAGTAGGGCAGCTCCTTAGGGTCAGTGCTGGTTTGGGTGCACAGCATTCTTTTAAAGGAGGTGTGGATGCATGGGAGGCTGGTGTTTTGGTGGTTACTGCTGAGTGGCATTTAGGACTTGGCATGGATAAGGAGAACCACCAATTTGACTGGGACAACACCAAGATCCTGGTACAAGCAAAGCAGAGACAGGCACGGGAATTCCTAGAAGCCTGGTACTCCACGAAGAAAGCCATCAACAAACACATAGAACTTGACCCCATATACACTCTACTACGAAGGAAAACCGGAAGTGAGGTAATCCAGCTTAGCGGACTCCAGAGTTTAAAAACCAGGCGGGAAAACACAACAGCACTTCATCGGAGGCTGCATTGATGATGTTACCCAGCAGGGAATGAAACGTCTGTGGAACAACGAACCAGCTCAGCGAGCCAACCAACCACAACACCCACAACCTGAGCTACATATCTACTCCATAACCTTAGAATTTGAGTTTTTATTAGATTTTCCCTGCCAGCTTCAAACTGTCTTTCACTTCTTTCTCTGTATACTTGCAGCTCCAATTCTAACTCCTGTATGTGGAAATCCCTTTCTCTCTGTTTCTTCTCTGTTCTTTTATTTACAGCTTGAAACTTTGGCTCCTTTTCTCAGGCTAGTTGTCTTTTGCTTTCTGACAATAAACGTGAAAGAACTGTAAACTGTAAGGGAGACAGTGTGGAACTCAAAAGGACATTGACAAGTTGGTGGAATGGGCGGGTAGGTGCGACATGAGGTTCAGTACAAAGAAGTGTGAGGCGATGTGCTTTGGTTGGAAGAATTTTGAAAAACAACATAAAACGGGGGTACAATTCTTAAGAGATTGCAGGAGCAGAGGGATCTGGGTGTACACATGCACAGATTGTTGAAAGTGGCTGGACAGGTGGAGAGAGCAGTTAATAAGGAATGCATGGTTCTCAGATTTATTAGAAGGGGCATAGAGTGAGTACAAGAGTAAGGAGATGATGTTGAA